GTGTGTGTGTGTGTGTCCTTTCATAATAATGCACACACTTGCACAACACCTTAAATAAAGTCTAAATCTGTGGGAAACACTATCAGCTGATCTGCTGTTGACAGAACTAAGCTGTCATTGGATGCTGTATGAGACCTGGGTCATGTGATGATCCAGTAGAAGAGACATGAGTGAAAGTTTTGGTAAAACCTTGAATCTTGACCGTATTCCTGCTCTCAGTGTAAGTCATGCAGCCTCACTGCTCTTCTCACAGGTTAGTGAACGTTTCCTGTGACTTGGACTGCCTTGCATCAGTGATAGTAGCGTTATCACTTCCTCTCTGATGTTCTCGTTTGTTGCTCCAGTTGCATAAAGACTGACGAGTGTCTGACGTTCTGTAGTGTGATTCCACCTGAGCAGAGGCCTCGTGGGCTTTCACTGTATAACATTTTGGCATCTGAACTCAAAGTCGCATTGGTTGAACCACGTGTGTGTGTGTGTATGTGTGTGTGTGATGTGTTTTATTACAGCTTATCCCTGTCTAGTAGCTCCTGCAGTTCATTCTGGATGTCCTCTGGCAGCTCCAGAGGAGGCAGGTCATCCAGACACAGGTCTTCCTGAGCTGGCATTTCCAACGGTGGCAGCTGAGGGATTGCGATCTCCTTCCCCTTCCTTTTGCTCTCCCCTCCCTGTCCGACTCCGCTTCCCATAGGACCACCTGCTTGTGGGAGCACCCAGAGCTCGGAGCGCTCCACGAAGTCGGCCGCCTCCGAGTGCAGCCTCATGTTTTCCAGTCGTAGCCGCTCGTTCTCGGCTCTCAGCTGCTGGTTTTCGTTCGTCAGGCCGTCGACCAGGAGTCGCAAGTTCTCAATGGTCGTCTGTTGTTCTTCCAGGCGCGTTTTGTCATCTTTGGTGGTCTTAGACCCCGAACACACTGGAGTTAGAATCTGTGTTCCTCCAGTCTGCCGAGTCTGAAGCTGGTACAGTAAGGTGTCATACTCCCTCTGCCCAACGCTTCCAAGCTCTGCAGCCGAGGCGCCTGGAGAGGCACAGGGCCGGCTGCTGCCCGTGGACGGAGATTTCAAGAACCCTGGCCCGGTGGCCTGCACTAGACCAAGTCGTGTCTTAACCGCCTCTCGCCGAGCTTCTCTCTTCCAGCGCTCTTGGATTAACCGTTGCTGTTTAATGTGACTGTCCCTCTGCAGCTCCATGGACAAACGAGCCTGCAGCCATGGAACAAACAATCACTCTGTGATACAAGACACACACAAACAATCAGCTCTGAAACTCTGACGATCAGGCAGGTGGGTGAGGGACTTCTGACTTTTTGTCTGTTTTTAGGACTACTACAGATGACTACTTATTGAGATTTGCACAGCACAAAACAGGTAGCAGAGATTAACAGTAGTAGTGCTGATAAAAAAATCCTCAGCATATCCAACCAAGAAGAGGCCACGGAGACCATATGTCAGTGTAGTTTTTATTCACAGCAGACATGTGCAGGTCATCTCTGTCACTACACCCCTGAATCTGCTCTGTGCTCCCGCTCCGCCCCTCTGACACCCTCGTGTCTAATCCTGTCCATCCTGGTCAGGCCTAATGACAAGTCTTAGCATCTTCAACTCTTTTTGTTTGTGCTGCTGTCTCCAAACCACACATCAC